ATTGAACCTTGGTCAGCAGCGTGTGAGAGAAGCGCCCTACCCACTGGACTATCTCTCTGGCACGTAATGTCTCTTGTATTTTCCCCTTAGCTCGGCGTGTGGTGACTCTCCCCGTGTTGGGGGTGGGGTGTGAGGAAGATGGATTAGGGAAGGTGCTTAATTCTCCCTCTGACACTGACAAGTGATTTGTTAACAAGATAGTGCCCATGTTTTCAGGGACTTACACGAAGGCTTAAAATGTAATATGATTCTGACAAGCCGTGCCCTGGAACAAAAATAATAGCCATGCTTTAATATTACCTGACTCTGAAAACTAAACAGTCTGTGCAGAAGTGGGGAGATGAGGGGATTTCCAGCGCGAGGTGTGGGCTCTTCTCGGAGGAGAGTTTTTTCAAATAAGCCCGAGTTAGTAGGTTAGTGTGCTCTGCTTTTCCCAGCGCCAGGAAGAATTGTTAGCGGATGGCTTTTGTTTTAGAATTAGGAGCATGTACATTTGACAAATATTAAATCATCTTGCAGATTATGCTTATTTGAATGTATACTTATATGGATCCAGATTTTTGATCTGTTCTTATAAATGTGGGAGTTCTTAATCATAGGTGACATTTCAGCTTCTTCCTATGACTGGCAACCACTTTCAGCTATAAAGTGCTCACCTTTCACTTTCCGGCCGAAATTTGCCTTTGAGATAACATTTCTCATTGGGCTATTACTGTAGGAAAAGGATGCCTCAGACCATTTTCATGATTTTATTGTCAACAAAGGGTATCCTATATTAATATGTCTAGGATATCTGAAGTAGCTGGGTGAGTTTTTGAAATATAGAAAGTATTTTTTTTTTAAATCAGGCATCTTTTTTTAAAAATAGTGCATCTAATGTGATAACACGGGCATTCTGTTGTTCAAAGTGCTTCCAAAATCAGCACACTCACCTCTGGGGCTTTCCAAGCAGAAGTTTGAAGTCAATCCTTTCTGAAAAAAAGAAGAGGGTAACGTTGGAGAGATGCCAGGTGGCAAGGTTGGTATTTCTCATGATGGGTGACGGTGAAAAGTACCTCCCTGCTCGCTCAGTTCCCTTCTTTGCAAGCTGCCTTCCCGGCCTCTACTCCACTCCTTCCAGAAAACCTGTCTCCCTGAGACAATAGTCGGGCAACTAGTCTTTCATCGGGGTTCAAAACCTTCCCTATTCCTCTCTCAAATATGGATAGCTACTTACCAGGCTCACACAACTCTTACAATGCAAGAAAAATGAAAATAATCGCTAAAATATGAGAGCTGGAGAGATGGTAGAGAGTTTAAGACAAGATGCTTAGCTTGGCCAAGCTTCAAATTCCCAGCACCGCGTTTGGTTCCCTGAGCACCGCCAGGGGTCACTCCTGAGCTCAGAGCCAGAAGAAGCAACTGAGCATTGCTGAGTGTGGCCCCCCAATAAACAAGGTCCCCCGCAAAAGAAAAAAAAAAGTAAAAATATGTGTTACCATACAACATGTCTGTGTAAGAAATTTGGTGCTTAATCAAGCGGGACTTTATATTCAAGAGCCAGCCAGCAAGTGGTTTGGTTTGGTTTGCTTTTGTGCCATACTCAGCAGTGGTCTGGTGCTACTCCCAACTTGGTGCTCAGGGTCGTTTCCAGTGGTGCTTAGGCGGGTACTGACCCCACATGCAAAGCATGAGACCCTCCACCATTCCCGGTGAGGCTTGTCTTCCGCTGAGCCGGACTAGAAGACACTGCCACTCCTTTCCAATGTTCACAATTGCAAGGAAATAACAGAAGGTTGAAAATGGTCTGAAAAGCAATGAACAGCACCCCAGAGAGTCCTGGGGTGAGTTTGTGAGGATCAATCTAAGAATCGTCGGCGTCCCTGAAGAACAGGAAAGCAAACGTGATGAAGAAACAACAGTTAGAGAAATCACTGATAAGAATTTTCCAGGGTTGAGGATTACAGAAGAGGCCTAATGGGTCCCAGCAGAAATAGACTCAACTAAGAAAACTCCAAGACACATTGTACTCAAAATGACAAAATCCAAAGATAGAGGCAAAATACTGAAAGCAGCAAGATTTAAAAAGGGAACTTACATACAAAGGAAAGCCCAAAATATCAAATGAAACTCTGAGCCAGAGTATAGAGGGATAGAGTACAAAAACTCAAGGAAATGAAAACCTCGCCAAGAATACTGTATCCAGCTCGATTATCATTCAGATTTGAAGGAACTAAATAGAGTTCCATGGACAGGCAACAGCTTAGGGAATTCATCGCTTTGAAACCAGTTTTGCAAGGTGCAAGATTCTCTAAAGAACAGAACAAACTTCCCAAGGCAGGGCATTAAGTATTGCACTCACTAAGTAGGCATATAGTTGCCCTTACTAAATTAAGAAAGGAGTATTTACTTGCTAAGGGATTAGACACATTTTCAATAGTGAATTAATATCCTATTTATATTGGTTAAAATCCCTTCACAAAACAATCAGCACAAGGTGACTTTTATTGATTTATTTTCTGATAATTCCTTTTAGTTTTATTGGAGTAACTAATATGAAATAAATTTGTTACATGCCTGCCAAGACATTGGTGGAGGGAAAGGAGCACTGGTGGTGGGATTGATGTTGGGACATGGTATGCCTGAAACAACTCTATTCTGAACAGCTTTGCAAACCATGGTGTCTTAATAAAATTTTTTAATTAAAAATTAAATGTAACTATAATAGTATTTCTCACAAGGCTGTGGTGAGAGCTAAATGACTTTGTAAGCAAGCTGTTAGTGTTGCTGCTAGAATTGTCTTTTTTGGTCAAACACCCCCCTCCCCACCACCCCCAGCAATAGTACAGCAGGGACGGTGTTTGCCTTGCACGTGGCCAACCTGAGTTCAATATCTGGCATCCCATATGGTTCCCAAGCACCGCCAGGAGTGATTCCTGAGTGCAAAACCAGGAGTAACCCTGAGTAATGCTGGGGTGAGACCCCCCCAAAAAAAACCCCCAAAATACGAAATAACAAAATAAAAAGGAATTGTCTTTCTGGGAACGTCCTTTAATAACATAAAACCACATTCTATCATGATTGTTACTTGTAGGCATGAGGTGATACTCTGAAACTTGCTTCTTGTTTGTTTCTTGCTTTGGTTTTTTTGCTTGGGGACCACAACCAGCAGTGGTCAGGCTTTATACCTGGCTCTGTGCTCCGGGGTCCAGCCTGGGTCAGCTGCGTGCAAGGAAAGTGCCTTATCTCCAGCACTGTCTCTCGGGGCCTGAGATTTGCTCCCTGATAGAGCCTCCACCCCTTTCCAAAGCCACTTCATCTTCTTCAACAGCTGCGTTCCACACAATACAGTGGTGAACTGTACTTTTGCTACCGTGTGTCTAGCCACAGACCCCTACTTTACTTTTTCCAAGGCTTTACCCCCCCTCCCCCCAAAATTACTAAGGTGAACATTCTTGAGCTGGTGTCATTTATGGAAACGTTTGGTTCCAAGGTAGAGCAATGCTTTCTCTGCACAGGTTTATTGCACTTTCCATTTTTTTTTTAAACGAGTATTACCAGCCGCTCTGCCCGAGGAGGTGAATGCCCTCCTGGGAGGGCATCCATCCAGGAGACTTCCTAGGAGTACAGGCAGATGTCTGCTGAGGTATGTGAGGTGGAGGGTGGGGACATAGGCTGCCCGGAGGGCGTGCAGGATATGGGAGTGGCTGGGTGTGTGAAGCTAGAGAAGCAGATTGTGAATTGGGAGTCAAAGCCAAAGCAAGGCCGTTAATAAAATAAGCTAAAGTGGGGAGGAAGTGGAATCCTGAAAACAAAACAAAACAAAACAAAACAAAAAGCCCCCAACGTCGTCTAAACGGCAGGGAGAGACAACAAAAGGAGCAGAGATGGGCTAGAAACCCGGAGAGCAAGGTGGCCAGGTCCAAGGTCACGTCGCCGTGAACTGGCCTGTGCACCCCAACCCAGAGACAGGACAGCGGGTGCCGTGCTTTGCACGTGGCCGACCCCACGGTCGCCACCACCTCATAGCCCCCGCGACAGGGGCGAGACCACGCGTGCAAGAGGTCGCAGGACACACACGCGCAGTTTCCTGGGGAGACGGGCGAGATCGTCACCACCCAGCCCCAGGGCGGGCGAGCGGGCCCCGTCCGCAGCTGCGGTGCCCGTTTCCCGGTGCGCACGGAACGCGCTGAGATCGGGACCCCCAAGGCGCTCGGCCAGGGGCCCGGGGAAAGCCTTTTCCTACCAAGTCTCGTCTCCGCCAGGGACAGGGCATGTGGCCGCGTCCCGCCTCCACCCAGACGGCGCGGAGAGAAGCGCAGACCAACCAGGGCAGGGTGGCCGGTGCTCGCTCTCCCAGGGGCGCTGCTGGCGGCGCTGCCTCGGTGGGACCGAGGCGGGAAGGTGGTGCGGGGGGACTGTTAGCAAGAAAAACGGGACAAGCTGTGGCTGGTGGAACGTAGTGGGGGGCTGTTAGCAGGGAAAACGGGACCAACTGTGGGTGGTGGGACGTTGGGGTTGGGGGAAAGAGATGTTAGCAGGAAAAACGGGACAAACGCCTGCAGGCAGACCCCCCTCCGGGGGCAGCGGCGCGCCGCGCAAAGGGACGGCTGCTGCGGGCACGTCGCGGTCCGGGGCACGGAGCGGGCGCGGGGCTGCGCGCACGGCCATGGTCAGACGCCGGGGTGCCCGAGCGATCGCGGGTCCGTTCGCTGACCACCTGATTGCATGCAGGGGGCGTGCGGGAGGGCGCGCCCTGCAGAGCTCCGGGCGTCCAGGCGTGGGGGAGTGGCGGGTGGTGGAGGGGCAGGCCGACCCCCCGCGCCCCCTCGGTGGCTGTCCCTTCCCACCGGGCTGTGCCCTCCGCCCGCCCGCCGGCGGAGCCCCACCCCGCGGCTGTCGGGCACCACCTGGCGGGCGCGCGGCCGGGGCGGGGCGGGGCGGCGGGGCGGGGCGTGCCCGGGGCCCGGCTGGCTCGACCCGGGCCCGGCCGCAGCGCAGAGCGCGGCGCTGCCCGCCCAGCCGTGCCATGGCCCCGCGTGCCCGGCGGCCCGGCCCGCTGCCCGCGCTGCTCGCGCTCGCCGCCCTGCTCGGCCGCCTGCAGGTAGGAGCCGCCACCCGGCGGGGGTGGGGTGGGTGGGCGAGCGCGCGACCCCCGGGGTGCCGGCGGGGCCGCGGCGCGGGGCCGAAGTCCAGGGGCGCACCCGGAGCATCGGTGGGGAGGGGGTCCGCACCCCGAAAAACGGCGTGGGCACGTTCTTGGACTTCTCGGTCTTCCTGGTCGGTGGCCGAGCTCACCGGGGGTCCAGAGCGCCCGGCGACCCCAGGTTGCGCAGCGACGTTTTTCTGTCCGCTCCGCACCTCCCCTTGGGGGGTTGGGGGGTGAGGGGTGGCACGCCCGGCGGTGCTCAGGGCTTAGTCCTGGGCCTGCACCCAGGGGTCGTTCCTGGAGGGTTTGGGTGACCATATGGGGTGCCGCAGTTTGAACCCGTAAGAACGCTTTCTGCAGCCCCTTCCCCACCCGGGGTTCTGCAGTTCCCCGCATTCTGCCCCCGCCGATTGCCACAGAGTCGCTTGTTCTCCCAACTTCTCCGGTAACTGGGAGCAAATCCGGTTTGCGTTGGGAGAAGGGGTGGGGGGTGGGGGTGCGTGGCTCCAGCCGGCGCGGGCGCCCTTGTCGCTTTGGCTGCAGGGTGACAGACCACCGTCTCCGGGGCTCCCCGGCCCGGGATGCACCTGGGGCACCCCCCTGGGCGACCACAGGGCTCTAGCGCAGGGCGCTGGCAGCGAGTTCCGCGGTGCAGGGAGTGATTGTGCTCTCGGGTCCCTGCAACCCGCGGCTCCTCCTGCGGGCGCCCCAGCTCCGAAACTCGGGGCTCCTTGGACTTTCCGCCGAGAGAAGGGTCCGAGGAGCTGGTCTTCCTGGTTTCAGATTTTCGCGGTTGACATTTTGGCTAAGCTGGCGAAGGCTCAGAGTGCGGAGCAGAAGCCCGTCTGGGGAGAGTTGGGGGATGCCAGCCTGGGAGGAAAACCTGAACAAAATAAAAGACTGCCCCAGGCTGGTGCAAAAAAAAAAAAAAAAAAAAAAGCTTTCTCCGCGTGCCCTTTCGCTTTTGCTTGCGTGGGTCTCAACAGTGGGGGGGAGCAAGAAGGTGGAAAAGGACCTCCTGGAGTTTTTCATCCTAAGCACTTCGAGTTGCTTAATGAAGTGTCCAGCAGGCTGAACGAGGTGCTGCAACCTTATTTGAACTCAAGGACCAGGCTCCAGGGTAACTCCCTCAGCCTAAGAAAACCCCCCAGCTGGGGGCTGGAGAGACGGTCTAGAGGCGGTTGCCTTGCACAGGACCCGCTTAGATTCAGTCCCTACGTCACTGCCTGTTTATTCCCCCCCGAACACCACCAGGACTGATCCCTGAGAACGGCCAACTATGGCCCCCAAACCAAAAAACGAAGTGGAGGAGGGCGGGCAACAACCTATAGCTTACACCAGCCTGTCCATGGCTTTTGCAGAAAACCTCCCACACGCAATATGGACAGTTATGGACACATGTGAAAGGGTTCGATTCCAACCCTGACAACAAGTACTATCAAAACAAGGTTATTTTTCAGAGAGACCTTTCAACAAGTGCCGTTTCTCCGCCCTTCCCCTTGGGGTCACTTGAATTGTGTGCATTCTAAAATCCTACCTAAACAGGAAACGTCCCGTGATAGAAAGGGATGCGCTTCTGTTTGCTTTAGCTGGGACCCAATCTCTCCATGGAAAGAACTTAACCCTGAAAGGTGCAAGCAAGGTGGAAAGTGCCTTGGCAGTCACTGGTCTTTGCAATCACATGGGTCTCTGGACGAGGGAGTTAGTTATGCCGAATTCGTCAAATAATGGGGGGGGGGGGGGGGAACCAAACACCTTCTTGGAAATGTCTTGGTGGGCTAGTATTCCGTGTCGTTTACATGATGGAGAAGTCAGACTTAGCTAGTGGCTGTACGTTTTGTGTCTTCTTGCATTACTTGCTGCCCATGAGGCAGAGGAAGTGTGAATCCCTAAAGAGAAACGGGTTTTCTGTTTGTTGGTTGCTTACTCTTCTCTTGGTCCCAAGGAGGAAACTAGGAAAAAAAGGCTCTCTGTTTGGGCCCTGTGCTGCTGGGGTACCTGTGTCCCCCTGGTGGTGTCCGAGACCTCTGGGCTGTGTGCTATGATCCTCTGGGCTGTGTGGGGTGGGGTGGGGGGGATATCTGGTCCCAGGAACAGCTTTTCTTCCTTCATCCCCTGCCAGAATTTGAAGTTTGCTGTTTAAGGCATCACCAGGGACCCTCAATAAGAATCAGTCACACATTTAAATATACAGAGTAAATAGTATACTTCCTCTCTCTCTCTGTCTTTCTCTCTATAGATATATTTGTATGTGTGTTTATGTACATATGTAAGTACACGTGTAAGTGTACTTACATATGTACAAATATCCCCGGCTGTTCTCGGGGATCACTCCTGGCGATGTTTGGGGGGGGGGGATAAGTAGGCAGGGATGTAGGGATGGGATCTATGCGGGTCCTGTGCAAGGCAAGCCTGCTGGCCTCCGGACTGTCCCTCCAGCCCCACGTGTCTGTGGAAAATATCACAGAGACCCGGAGCCGGCGTCTTCTCCAGAGCCGAGTCCTAAGGGCAGGCTCCTTCATACCCTGGCTGGCTTGGTGAGAAGTGGGGCGTGTCCTAGCTGTGTCCACGGGGCGCCCAGCCCTGCAGGGCTATAGAGATCAAGGGCTGATAAGAGAAGCAAAGAGGGTCACGGGAGCAGCTCGGAGGGAAGGAGTCTGGGGGGGGGGGGAGGTTTGGGGGACCGAAGGATTTCTGGAGCAGCCTCCGGAGGGGTCTGAGAAGCATTGCCCCCGGAGCGGGGTGGGGAAGACAGCTCTCGGCTCCAGACAGGATCATGGGAAGGGTGTGGACAAAAGGATTCTTGGCCCCTTTTATGCATTAGAGACCACCCTAAGGGCCGACTACAGGTTAGCAGTCGTAATTTAAACACCACAAGGGAAAGGAGGGAGGCAGAAGAGCTGGCCCTGCAGAGGAAGACCCTGGGGAGGAGGTGGGCGCCAGGGCACCCGTCTCCCGCCCCCCCCCACAAGGTCCTGGAGGGGCACCCAGGGCGAGGCAGGGCTTCATGCTGGCTGGCATCTCAGCTGCACCCCCTTATTTCCTCCTCCCCCTCCAGCACCCGGCGTCAATAGGAATAGGAACTCACTCTGGGCGCTGATAAGGAAACACGAGCTGGCTGTTTCAGCGTCTACCAGACAGCCTTACACCAGGAAACCCGAAACAATAAAGGTGTATCTTCGAAGGTCCATAAATCAGTGTTTTATGAGGCGCTGGCGAGGGGAGTTCCAGAGCAGGGCCTCCCGTGGGGTGGGCGTGCGGGCCTGCCCTGCTGCCTTGTCCCGTTTGGAGGAGCTGCGGGGAAAAGCGAGTGAGGGGGTACTGCCAGGCGGGGGACCCCCGGCCCAAGGCCTGCCCCCTTCTCCCACTGTACCACAGCCGGTCACCTTCTCTGCAGGCCCCGGAGAATCGGGGTCCACTCAGCCCCGGGCACTGAACATCAGCAGAGCACAAGGCTGGGGGCTCTCAAAGTTCTTCGTGACCTCCTGAGGTTTGCCGAGAGGACGGTGGGTGAGAAAAGTGCACACGTGTACACACACATCCACGCACATGCTCACACTCACACAGCACGCCCCTGGGGACGGAGATCACACAGTCTCACACACACACACTCACACAGCACGCCCCTGGGGACGGAGATCACACAGTCTCACACACAGACACTCACACAGCACGCCCCTGGGGACGGAGATCACACAGTCTCACACACAGACACTCACACAGCACGCCCCTGGGGATGGAGATTACCCAGTCATACAGAGACATACACTGCATGCCCCTGAGGACAGAGATTGTGCATGTGTGCGCGCACGCACACACACACACACACACATGCACACATTCTTACACTCCTACTCTTATAGACACTGTATCATACACACATTCATACACACTCACACACACATACTCTCACAGATACCCTCTCAGACTCACACCCACACTAACATTCTCACACATTCACACATATTCTCACAGACACACACTCTCTCTCTTTCTCTCAGACATACACTAACACACACTAAGATATACACTCCCAGATGCTCCCACACTCACACATACACTAACATATACTCTAACAAACAGACTCACACTCTCTCAGGCACTCAGACACTCACATACTCTCACAGACACCTCTCATACTGCAGACATCTCACAGACACGCACTCTCTTCCTCTGTCTCTGTCTCTCTTTGTCTCTCTGTCTGTCTCTCTGTCTGTCTGTCTCTCTCTCTCTCTCTCTCTCTCTCTCTCTCTCTCTCTCTCTCTCTCTCTCTCACACACACACACACACACACACACACACAGAGGCTGCCCAGAGGCTCCTTTCCGGAAGTATTCCTTGTTGGCCTCTTCGTGTGTCTGGGGGCCCAGCAGCCCTCAATCTTGGATTTCAAGGGGCTGTTCCCCCTCACCACCCTCCCCCGCAACCCGTTCAGCCGGCTGGGAGAAACAATACTGAATCTGAATCTGGGTCCCGTGACACCGTGTCCCGGTTTCTGTCGGGCGGGTCAGAGGTCACCCCTGCCCTCCTGGCAGTGTGGGCTGCACTGTAGAGGCAGAGGCCGGGCGTACCGCCTCCCGGAAGCTCAGTCTAGACAGGTGCCGATGTGAGAAGACAGTGGGGTGCCCGCGCCAACGAGGGCACTGGGCACCAGCCTGCTGTAACCTACTTGGCAGCCTGGGGGGTGACTCGCCCAGTCTAGATGGAGCCGTGTGTGTGCGTGTGTGAGTGTGTGTGTACGCTCGCGTGTGAGTGTGTGTATGCACGAATGCTTGAATGTGAGTGTGGTGCTTGCACTCATGCATGTGTGTGAGTGTGTGTGCGCACATGTGTGTCCGTGTGTCCGTGTGTGTGTATGTGTGTGTGTGTGTGCGCGCGCGCATGGATGCAGGGTCCCTGCCTGCAGGGGGGATGGGAGGGGAGCTGTGCTCTGGGGCCTCTCCCCCGGGACAGAT